CGTAGGGGATCAAGGTGTTACAACAATTTTGTACACCATCTAATCTCTTTAGGAGTTTTTCTAATTACTCCCCCTAACGCTGGAAATTCTTTCTCATTATATCACCAGTTACTAGTTCAAGATACCTTATATACGGCTTGTTCTACCTTTTCTAGAGATTTATCGTTCCCGAGAACATTATTAATTCTCCAGGACTACTATATATGAAGATGCAACCTAAACCGTTCATGTTATGCTAGACATATCAATATATTGCATCCATTTTAAAATTTCTCCAGTGATCTTGGAACAAGCCATTTTTCATACCTCAAGGTCATCTTTCATATCATTATTTGGAGAAATATATACCTTGGACTTTTGGTCTAAACATCTCTCATTTTTTTAACGGCTTTATATCAAATTGATTGCCTTATCACTCTTTGGCTAATCAATTCACTCTACTCTCATATAGAGGTAGATTCATGATCCTTATTTATATAGTGCTTTTTATTTATTGTCGACAATCTACTATCTCTTTGGTTCCATCTTTTTAATCCGTACTGATTTGGTTAATCGAGATCTCTTTATTATCATCAGTGATTTACTCAGGTACCTGATTACATATTAGCGATATCAACGGTCTCATCATGAGATTCATCCTCTATTCATATATTTGCTTCTTTTCGAGGATTCTTTGGAACCAAAGTGATCTATCACGTCTCGAGCGTGTTATAGATTCATATATCGTCCTTCTGGGACACATTTTGTTATTGGAGCATTTTCAACTGGAATATGAGATTTCATCAAAATGTCTCGCAGTCACTTTATAAATGGAATCCTACATAGATTTCATGTAATCCATTTCTCATAATCTCACTCCATCAGCTGCTTATATGCTTCTAGCAACCTTGTGAGCATATTTCCATATATTTTATCCCTTTTGGATTGTATATATAGGACTCTATTTCATGCACAACTGCATTACACCCGATCATCTTACTTGAATTTACTTCATCAAGTTCTTTTCCGAGTGCGAACATAATCATCTCAATGTTCCACTCACTTGGATTCTTGGATTCTTTAATTCTCCCCCCCTCGAGATGATCACATTCCTTGTCAAAAATCTTGTACTTAATCCCACTCTAGATTTAATAACATATCCATTTTGATATGAATTACGTTTCAAATCCTTAGAGTGAGATTCTGATTTGGGGTCTGTCTAAAGAAATCACATCCAATGAACTTGTTTGAAGATCATCTCCCATGGTTTCTTTTATTTTCTTTAAGATGTGCTATATGAAAAACTTCATTTTTTCAATATTTCACAATAATGCCATAACATTATTGCACTAGATGGCTATATATCGGTAAACTTCAGATTTACCACCATTTATAATTTTGCCATTTTTTCCTTATGCATGTCTTTTTATCATAAACTCTTTTAGAGTCAATAATAGTTTTTACATTACCAGAAATAATATATATTTTAAGGGACTAAAGATATTTTGTACCTTTTATCCATGTACGATGAAATATTTCCAAATATATATCTCCATCCTAGTTCTTAAAATCTGGCATCCAGATCTCAAAAAGATGTATTGATAAAACAATAATCTTTATCTTCTTCAAGAAGATAACTATCATGTCACAACGATATTTTCTTTTTCTTATTCTTTTCTGGATCAAACAGAAAATCCAAAATATCAAGATGAGAATTCAAGCTTTGAACAGATGGTCCGGGTTCATAAGAGATGAAGTTTATATCATTTCCTTTCTCTTTTATTTTTGATTATTAATACAGATCGGTTTAATAATTTTGGCGTACTACAAAAGTGTACACAATCCTTTCTCATACCGCATCTGTAGCAAACCTTTTATGTTTGCCTTTTATCATCCTGACCATTTTTCGTTTCCGTGAAAGTCCTTATCATAGGGACGAAATCCTTTTCCTCGTCCTCTTCCACGACCACAATTTATATTGCATCTAACACCCTCGTCCTTTCTCAATAGGACAGACATGATGGTTTCTTATTATGAGTTCTCTTTTTCTTCTTCTTTTTTTTTTTAATTTTTAATTTTGTTTAAGTTTATACAGAGGATTTACAACAACTACACTATTTTTGAATCATTTCTTTCAAAGATTTAACTTTCATTTCTTTCAAGGATTTAATTTTCCTTTTTTCAAGGATTTAACTTTTATTTCTTTCAAGGATTTAACTTTCCTTTCTTTCAAGGATTTAATTTTTTTTTGTTTCAAGGATTTAATTACTCATAGATCTCAAGATCTTTTCTCATGCTAAATCTCATCTTTTTAAACCATCTTTAAAGTAGTGAAAAATATCATGGCTTTATCATTTTCTCATCCGATATAGTTTTTAAACTTATTGATGATTCAATATCATGGCTCTTATACTCATGCCTTCTGATGCGCCTGTTTATATATGTAAGAAAATATTTAATTAGATATAATGTCACTTTATTACGTACAACATTACAAGAGTGAATATAATCTAAAGTTTGAGCTGATTAGATTTTTAATGATGTTTTAGATGATTGCAATGAATTGGAGAGTTTAAAGTGATTTTTGTTAAACCACTATAAAATATAACCTAAAATCATAAGATTTTAATTTTTTTTTAAATTAAGAAACTCTAACCAAACATTCTAAAACCACTTGAAAACTATAAAATTCCATAATTTAAAAATATTTTCAGTAATAATAAATTTTGGAGTACTTTATAAAATGTCAAGTTCGACAACAACAGATTTTGAATAAGTTTTTAAAATCTATGTTTGAATAACTTTGGATTTATAATTTTAGTATAATTCACTTAAAACTCTCAGTTGAATGAACCCTCTATGTTTGTAGAGGTCATACGTCACTTTATCGCATTTTTTTTTTAATTTTTCCTTTTTAGTATTTTTCTTTCTAAATTAATTTTTATATATTTGTTATGGAAAATCATCAAGTAAATAATGAACTCATATATTTATTTAACACAAGATCAGTTAAATAAAAATATTGTTATTGTCATAGTGTAGTAGATTTTACTAGAAGGTGAAAAGCAAAAGAAAAATGAAAAAGAATAATGAACTTATAAATATAAATTTTCTACCACATAATGAGATGGTAAATATATAGTTTTTCAAAAACTTACATATTTTTAATTAATAAGGTTAATTTTTTTATAAATGCAAAAATAAATATAATTCAAAGATGCATACATCAATCACTTCCGGAAAAGTTTGAAGATAGGTTACATGAAAGAAATCTAATTAAAATCTGCATTTTAATATCTAAGTTTACATGAGAAACTATAAAATCCCTGATTACAAATTTCAAATATAACTTATTAAATGCTAGACAACAATTTCTTCAATTATACTGTGAAAACATTTAATTTCAAAATTGTGCATAATTTGCTCATTTGAAAGATACAACAAATTACTGATGTTGTAAATTTATAATATTTAGATATATATAAAATGATAATTAAATAATATTTTTATTTGAAAGTGAATATATCAAAATACAGAAAAGTTTATGTTCATTGCAAACTACATCCATCCTCCTAACTCTAATTTTACTATTAGGAGGGTTGGTTTTACTAATGGTAGTAGCACATAAACGTTTCAAAATTCCAATAATCTTAATTACGATAATAAGTGCCAACAATCATGGTACCATCCTCCTAACTCTAATTTTATTGTTAGGAGGGTTGGTTTTACTAATGGTAAAGTAGCACATAAATGTTTCAAAATTTCAATAGATCTTCGTCAAGACAATAAGTGAAACAACAATCATGGTACCATGTTATCTTTATTACTTGAAATAATTTTTTATCATTTTAGATGAAGCATCAATTGTGCCATCGATTTATGTTTGAAACTCTTGAGAAAACTTAGTGAGATGATGTAGTTTACGTGACAGAGTTAGATGTAACAAAAAAAATATTTAGCATAAAAACAATATTTCTATGTGGTGATTTTAGATAAACTTTGCCAGTCCTACTACAAGAGAAATGAGACAAACAGTTGTTATAGCAACATTCAACCATTCATATTTATGGAATTACTGTTTTATATTCACTCTTATAAAAAACATAAGGTTATAAGGTCACTCGAAGCTGAGAAAGATTTGATAATGGTATTAAGTATCAGTGACGATACAACACTACACCAGCAAAATATAAGAGACAAGATTAAAGCTTACCAAAATTATTGTATATTTGCCAAGTCTAATTGTTTCTCACGGAAAATTGTATATCACACTATTAAAAGTCATTACAATCGTGGGACTTTAAATTCTTTAAATAAGCATAAAACATAACAATAATAGTGTTCTAAAATATTAAGAAGTTTTCTTCAAAATATACCAAGAAATAGATGAACTTCACACCATGTAGTTGCTACAATAAATAAATTTTGTGTTTGTCTAACAACATATTTGATATTGAGTTGACTATCAACAAAAAATATTGATTAATGTTATGCATATAAGTATGTTTTGAATTTTGTTGTTTTATATTGTTTTAAAACATAGAAACAATAGAGCAGGTTTACACCAATAACCCTTTATTTTTACATTTCTATTACCTATAACTAATATTATTTTAAAATAATTTGAATTGAACACGAAATAATTTAAATTGAAATATTTATAACTTAAATATTTTTAATAAAGTAGTTTAAAATACCATAACTACTGAAACATAAATATTAATCAAAATTAAGATCTGAAGCTAAGTTATTGTTAATTAATAAGTATAACAGCAACATATACAAATAAGCTCAAATTGATGTTTAAAAGTTTTTTAATCTTTTTAATTTTTCATCAAAAAAAAAAAATCAAATAAAACCATGATTTTGCACGGGTTCTATATCTAGTTAATTTATAAAGTTTTCTACTTTACCACATAAGTTGTAAACAAAACAATAAAATTAAAATACCGGGAAAGAAAAAGTAAACCGATTGAATACCAGACTGGACCGATATTTGGACAAAACTGTAAAAACGACAACGTAGAGTCGAATCATGTTGTGTCTACCACATCGATCCCGAAATCTGAGTCGTCTCCTCCATTAAACATCTCGCCAGATAGATAGATAAACTCCAATCTCTCTCTCTGCCCGACGACTTCTCGTTTGTAAAGATGAAAGCTTTCTACGTATTCGTCGTCTCTCTGCTTCTCACCCTTCATTCAAAGGTTCGTTTCCTTCTTCTAATATCGGAATTGCGTCTACAAATCTATTTGACTTATTGATCTAATTTAATTTGTGACAGGGAGAAGCTAGTGGTTCTGTTTTCTTCATTGATGGATCCAACAACCAATATCTTCGTCAACCATCAGAGCAGGTAATCTTGATCTTTGTTATATCTATAAGATCGCCATTGGTCTTTATTTTAGATCAATTAGATCGCAATTGTTTTTTTGTTAGATCAATAACATCGCCAATGTAGTAAGATAAGTCACGCTTTCGTTGAATTAATACAATAAAGATCCGTTTATTTGTTCTATGTCGCAGCAAGTTTTTTTTTTCAATACTAACACATGTTTGTGCTTTGGTAGTTCTTTTGTATTATCTCTTACACATGAATGAATCACTTTGAGTGTTTGGCTAGAATTAATTGGTTGTTAAGTGTTAACTATATATTTACTTAATCTTCTTCCTTTTGAAATGAAATTTTTAGGCGCTTCCCATGTCCCTATCTGAGATATCTGCATCAGTGTCTGCCTTGTTGGGTTTTGCACCTCCAGCTACTTTGACTGCTTCTGGCTCATCCAAGGTTTTCCAGCCTTCTACTAAAGCGTGCTTCTTTTTGTATATTCTTGGTTAAATTCGTGTACTTGATCATTTTTTTTTTTTTGGTTATATAGCTGAACAAGATTCTTAAACCTAATCCGTTTGAGAGGCCTCGTGCTGCTTTTGTGCTAGAAATCGCCGGAGCTGGTGGTATGCAAACAATGCGCTTAGGAAAGCTTTCTCATGTACCAACTTTTTAAAGTGTGAATCATTAAAGTGTGTTTGTTTTTTACTTGCAGATGCGCTTGTGGAAACTTACACTAGTCATTCTTTCTTGGGCAATGCCATAAGAGGCAGTATCAGTTCTGATTCTTACAATGCTGATATTGAACTTCCAGGTCTCATAAGCATCACTAGTTTTCTTCATTTGGGTCTAAGTCTTGCTTTAGATGTATTACGTTAATCTCGTCAAAAATTCTGCAGAAAGTGGAGTGGCTGTTGTATCTGTCAATGAACCCTCCTCTGATGTGACTGACAAAGACATCAATGAGTTTGTAAGTTTACTGTTTCTTTCATTCTAAGTGGATAGCAAACACTAATTGCTTGCCTTTTTCTTTTTAAATATGCTCCTCACTAGTAAATCGGTGACTGTATTATCTGTAGGCATCTTGGTTGGGTGGGTCGTATGTTACTGGCTCTGATGAACCATTGACTGGATTACTGAGTATCCCTCTGGCCGGTGGTGCTAATGTGGAGTTCCATTTGGAGAAGGTGATATCTTAGTTCCATGAAATGTTATGATTTTCTTTTGAAGAAGGCTTCTGACTTTTGTTACCATGGATAGGAAGCAGAGAGGAAATTTGCATTGAACCTTTTGGATTTATACAAGAATATCAGAGGGGCAGTCAATCTTAATGAGGATTTATCTCATGGTATTGAGAGACCTGCTGAATTAACTGTTGGACGCTTTGGCGGAATCCATGTAAGAACATTCTATCATTTTGTTATTCTACTTGACTTTTTGCAAAAAATCTTGTTAATTTGCCTAATATAATGGAAATTACAGGCTTTAGCACAGGAGTATGGGCAAGGTAAGGCTAAGCAAGGGATGGATGCATTGCTGGCCACTCTATCAAAGCTATTCGATCTGTTGGAGACATCTCACAAAGGTAAATTATCTCTGTGTGATTTGATAAACTCATTTTTCAAAGGAAGCAGATCAAGACTGTAAATGTCTGTGATTGTTGCAGGCCAAATTGTTGGAGTGATCGTTCTTGATGAGAGAGCAAATCAAGAATCAGCGAATATGCTGAGCGTTGAGTCTTCTTCTCATTCATCTGCACGGTCGATGGCTGAGGTAGAGGGAATTCCAAGGCCAGCCATTATCGCTCAAGTTATACTCGTTAGGCTGACGCTTGCATGGTTAACTGGAATCATCCTTCTCATTGCAACTATCCTTGGGGTAAGATCACATAACTCTCTCTTCTGTCAGTGAACTACCAAAAAGCAGATTCTCACCCATTGTTGCTTCTCATGGTCTTTGCAGGTGTACTTCCTCATGTACATGCCTATAACCAAGGACACACTCCTATACTCAAACGTGAAGCTCGATTAAGACATAAAATAGAGCTCAAGTGGACACCGATGAATCTTCAAATCGTTTACATCTTTTTGTGTGTATCAAGCTGTATTTCTCAACTGGCCTCATTTGAAACCAGTATTATTTGAATGTTTTATGAGAAGGTTGACACTTTTTTTGTGGCCGGACCAGTGGATGTGTTATCTGTATATTGTTGCAATAAGGTCTCATTCTTGATTTATTATTTGTTTTCTTTTCTTGCATACATGTGAGTCTCAGTCCTGATAATAATAATGAAGATCGTTTTGAACACTCATGTAAACTTCTGTTTCCTGTAAGAGCTTTTGATCATGGAATATGAATAAATTATTGCATTTTCTTAAGAACTCGACATACAGTTTTGACAGGATTTCCATTCATCAAAATTCC